AGGGAAAATGTGAAATACTCTTTATACTACGTGGATCTGTAAAAAGTGCCTTTGCTGAGCTGCACAGATCTGTACAAAGCAGAAGAAATGTGAATCTCTACTTCATGCATTTGCTCTTAGAGGCAAGCAGCAGAGCAAGCAACTTGTATTTTATTCACTCACCTAGTGTGCAGTTTTGCAAAGCAATCAGAACACAGTGGAGAACAATGCAGGTGTGTAAAGAATTGCACATTCATTTGCTCTGTTTCCTTCAGCATGCAGATCTCCTCAGTCTCCACCAGCCATTCTGCCCTTCTTTTCTTGCAGACTCTGGAATTTACCTCCAGCACAAATGGTGGAGACAGAACTGTTAGGGAGGGTAATAACTCTTGTGGGTGTAATAAATCCAGGTTACTGTTACATACAGTATATAAGCCAGAGAACTTTATGTGAGCACAGGTCTTGCTTTAGTTATTGCTTGCCTAAATTCAGGATCAATTACTTTGATCAGGAAGTGATTAAAATGCAGAGCAAGTTTTTAAGGACCTGTTTCAATCGACAGCTCCCTGAAAGAGGGTCTTTGAGTTTGATTTCATTTATTCCATCCTTCAAGCAGTTTCCAACATTCTCTTCTCCCCAGATGATTTTCTGCCTATTTCCTGAGCAGCACTGAGATAGTCCTGTGCTTTGCAGTTGGAGAAGTTAACAGCTTTGAATCTTGGAAATGGCACAGAGTTGGTTTGTAGGTGTATGTTGCTTAATGGCTGGACTGTGAAGTGTTGCTTTTTTTTGCAGGTTCATAAACAACTAAATTTGCAAGAAGTTATTATATATCCATTATATAAAATGGATAACTGGGAATGATTTCCTTTCGTTTTGAGGCTTTGTAGCTAACACCTGTCTATTTTGTAAGCAGTGCTGAGCACAGGCAGTCAGGAGAGCTGGTTTTTGTGCTGCTGTTGATACCCACTCTCCTTCCAGTGTGGCAGCTGAGCTGGTTGACTGCTCCTAGGATGCAAACTGTCTCAAAAAAAAAACCCAAACAACATAAACCTTTCGAAACCTTCGAATCTTGAATGCAGACATGACAAAAGGCAAGCTGCTTCTCTTTGCCAATGCATTTCTGTTCCTGACCTAGGTCACCCCGTTCAGTTCTACAGCATGAACAGACCTGCCTCCCGACACACCCCCCCAACAATAGGGGGATCCTTGCCCTACCGGCGCCCTCCCTCCATCACCTCCCAGACCAGCCTTCAGAACCAGGTCAACGGGGGACCATTTTACAACCAGAACCCAGGTGAGGAACAACTTCTGCTCTGCTGAATGCAGCACAGTGGTGAGTGGAGTGGCCTCTGCATCTCTGAGATCTTAGGCTGTGTGTCCATTGGAGCGCGTGCAGCTGGGCTGGGGTGACTCTCAGTGTGTTGCTGGCCGTGCCAAAGCTGAGGTCCCAGTACAGTGTTCAGATACCATTGTGACAAGCAACTTAAAATACTAATGTCTTTGTTGCCAAATAAATTACTTTTGATCTCATGGTCCGTGTTAGACAAGGTCTAGTCCTTTACCTACACCCTGTGTGACCTATCTGCTTTGGTGTGAGGTGGGTATGGGATTTTGCACCAGAGCACTGATTCCTCATTAATCAGTCTTTGTCTTGGAAAAGCATACCTCTGATTAATGGACAGTTCAGGAAGTTGCACGAGCTATACAGGGGTAAGCACTGGACACCTTAGAGGCATCAGTGGTGTTTGGTGTGGGGTGCAAGGGAGCTGTCTCATCTGCTCACCCCACAGGTGATGTTATTTTTATGGGTGGCCTGCCTTATAAAGCAGGAGATATTAACAAGGAGTGGTGTCTCCTCTGTGTCAGGCAGTAGCTTTTTACCTAAGGAATCCTTTTCCCTGACTTTTTTCCAAATGTGGAGGTTTTGATAGCAGAGTAGGGGAGAGTTTCTTTTTTTTTTTGACAAAGCTACAGAAAGATGCAGGGGAGATAATGAAGGTTTCATGCTAGGAAATGCCCTGTTACCAGAAAGATGGAATGTTTACTTGCAAGCATGACAAGTACATTTGTGTTTTGTGGTGGGTGGTTTTTTTGTTTGTTTGTTTTGCTTTTTTTTAAATTGACCACTGAATTTGGAATTAGGTCAGGTGCTGCAATCTGCATTTGAGGGATTTTATCAGGTTCAAATATTAGCTCTTATGAACTACCCTGCAAAGTGTTTCACTTGAGAAGGAAATGGATGGCCCTTCTGCTGAGATAGGGCTTGGAGAAGGTTATGTGACTAAATTGCAGCCCTGTGCCTGAAATCTGTGCTTTTTGTTAAGCACATTATGTGCATGTGAAAGGCTGAAGGGGAATAGGGAAGAAGGAAAAGATGATAGCAACAAAAGACACCTTCCAGGATTACCTTTAAGTGAAGAGATTTTCAGTATATCCACACAGCTTCTGACAACTGCTGTGCATTCCTG